AATGTTAACATTTGCATATTATACATATAGTAAAATTTGCGACATTATATTCTTTTAACCTTATGTTTTACTAATGAACATTTTTTAATATTAAACCTTAGCAAATTTGCAAATCAGCTATAAACAAGCTGGAAAAAGTGAAGATTCCAGAAATACAATTTAGTACTTAGTTATTATTGGGCAACAAAATTAAACTGCAGAAACTATCTGATTTTTAACTTGAACATTATTTTTGTTCCGATTCTGTAAAATTGACATTATGTTATTTTTCATCTTGTGCATGTTGTTTTATCAACAGTCCCATTTCAACAAAGGACAACTAAAGTCACATATCAATATTTGGTGATAAAGGGTCATAGAGTGAAAAAAAGTTCTGTTGTTGAAATAAAGTCGTTCAGTTATATCTTGCTTTACAAAAGATGAACTTTATACACTAAAAATGTATTTTGAAAGCTTTAATTTTTGTTTGCTCAAAGTTTTCAATAAACATCAATGTTGGAAATGTATTTTTACCCAAAACAATTACTCTTAGTGTACCTCCTGTGGACGTACAAATTTACTCAAAAGCACTATTTTTATTTAAAACTTAGATGATATTTGTTTTAAAAGATAAATTAGATAATACCCGTCACATGTTACATAAATTGATGCAGTAGCAAAAGAAATCATCATCAATCCTTTCATTTAATAGGTATCGAATAATTTTACCCATTACATAAATTTCTGTCAATTTAGCTTTGTGCAAACCGTAGAGACCTTTGGGACAACTCAAGAGCAGATCATTGCGAACCCGAGACGGAAAACCGAGGATTGCACTCAGGGGCGGATCTAGGATTTTTCAAACATCAGTCATAAAACGTCGAAGGCGCTCCGCACCTGGGGGGGTCTGAGGTATTCTCCCCTGAGAAATTTTGAATTTCAGAGCCTTGAAAATGCCATTTTCAGCGTTTCAGAGCAATACAAAATGTATTTGTGGGCATCGTTTTTGCGTAAAAACAACACATTTTGCTTACGTTTTTTTCAAAAAAAAAAAAAATGAAGTGAACAATACTTGAATGTTTTGCCAAATATTTAGGCTCATTATCATGCCAAATATATAGCTCATTAGCATGTCTAGGAACGTAAAATTTATTTTACAATAATGCTATTCAAAAACAGATATAGTCTTTAAAAATTTCTACCAAGTTGTCAGGCATAGACCCCCCTAGCGACCCCCACTCAAACCTCTATGTAATGAATTTAGTTAAGTTAGAAATTTGGTACAACAAGTGACAGTTCATAGATATAGAAAAGCTCAGACTTCAAACCATGCAAGTTTATTGTAACCCTTTACCCATCTCCACATCAGTGCCAGCAAATTCACCTTTTGAGAAAAAACTCAAAATTTTTCTGCCAAAGGTTAAGCAAAAATTATCAGAGTGAAAATTTGCAGTTAAGGACAGCTTAATGCCATAAATGTTTATTAGGCATTTCACTAGACTATTATCTCCTGCAAGTATATGCAAGGTTTGCTATATAGCAATCACTAGTAGCATTGTATTTGCAAATACAAACAGAATGTAACGAATATGTCTTTAATTATATAATTACATGAATGTTAAAATTGGTTCATGTGTCATGCTTACTGGTTATAATAAATATCTTTTCATATAATCAAAGCTTGTTTAAATGTAAATCAGAAATAATTTAGTTTAGAAATTATAATGATCATCAGAAAAATTACCTAGTGATCATGAAAAATACTTTGCTGTTTTGCCAAATTTCAAGGTTTATCTGCATACATAGAAAGGCATTTTTACTTTATAGAAAATGCTTTTCATACATCAATAGCCGTTTGGAATTTATGGCAAGCAATCTGGAATGAGCTGTAGATTGACAGACCTTTACATCTCTACATGAGGTGTTCAGTTAGAAAAGGGGACAATATGTGACATGGGACAACATTCCATGTATGTGAAATACTCATGTTTAATACCATTCCAGTCAAATTGTCAAAATAAAAAGCTTCATGGATCAGAAGACTCAAAATCACAGGTTATAGTAAACAGCTTCTCATGTAATCAATGTTAGTTTTCTCAAATCTCAAACAATATGTAGTATAACTGTCCAATGATTGAATGATCAATGATCATAAACTGAAAAACCCCAAACATTTGTTAATGATAAAGTAAATAATAGTATGGCGCCTTATGGCTACAGATTTTTTGTCCATTGAAATATATTTGCAGGAATGTAGGATTTCGCTGCCGTATAACGGCCACGATTCCCCAAGCACTAAAGAAATCATAGCTAAAAGTCCTTCGTCAACAACAATTTTAAGGTTTAATACCATACGCCATATTGACATAAATCGCATCACATACTCGCATAATTGACTTTGATATATTACATTCATGCATACTTTTCACTTGTCCTTTACTTACGATTTTCGATGTAAATTTCTGCTGATAAAACTCAAAACAATGTTGGCTTTCTTTTGAACATCAATGACTGAAATGTCGCTCGCGAGATCGTCTTTGCCAAGCATTTAAAATTTATCCACAAATTTCCACCCTCTTGAAATAATTCACATTTTGGACAGCAGCATTCATGTCAATATATGAATTTGTAAAAGATTTCCATAAATTCCATCTGATTGTAGTTTAGTTTCTATCATGCTTATAAAAATTACTATAAAACGATCAAACATTCAATTCAGACAGTGAGCTTGACTATGTTAGTTCAGTTGGCTATCAGTCGAAATCCGTCAGACCAATCACAATAAAGCAAAAATTCAAATGAACCAATTGTAAGATAGCAATTGGACTCCCTTATACGTCCGGCCACCCTTATTATCAGTCGAGACCATTCCAGACTGTCCACTGATCTGGCTATTGACCAATAAATAAGCGTTTTTGTCGTTCATAGACTCCTTTATCCGTCGAACCAGTCAAGCCACCCCGCTTATCAGTCGGTTATTCCAGGTCAATTAAAATTCAACTGATCTGGTTACCAACGAGATATTCATTGGATTAATCATTAGTTTTCAGTAATAAATAATGCGGGATTTTTATCACGAAGTAAATGCGATAAGAAAATAAGAATAATTAATGAATTTTTAATTAATATGAATAGGTAATTTTTGAATTTCAAACATCAGTCGCGCGACGGATTTGACATACTCTAGATCCGCCCCTGATTGCACTTGCTTGTGAGGATCTATAGGATTGAAGAAATGCTATTGGCTAGCTTGATCACGGGATAAAATGCGATTGGCTGGCAAAATAAAGAAGCAATGGCTAATCTATTTTGTTGAAATTTTGTTATCGAAGACGAAGTACAAATCACTGTTTAAAAACCGGATTTATCCGTTTCTTTTTACTTAAATACGTCCATGCACTGCTTCAACTAAGCTATCTTAATTTCTTTATTTCCCCATTCAGCGATAAATTCAGGTAAATAAACAAATAAATTCGCGTTCGGTTGCCATTTAAAACAAGAAATTTTCCGGGACGCCAATTCTGTGCGTCTGTCCTTATATAGATCATAGCTTTTGACCAATGAAACTGCTAAAATTCTTCTGGTTATTATATGATTAACAAATAAATAATATTTAAACGTTGTCTATACAGTTATAGACACACAGGTATGACGTTAATTGTGATAAAAACTAAAAAAGAAGCCACGAGCCGCCATGAGATTTAAAAAAAATGTCAAATCAAACGGTCAAACCGTTTGTTGTTTGTTTTCTTTGTTCCCCAACACTTTTTTGCAAATATCACGCTTACGTGATATATAGGATTGAAGAATCGCTATTGGCTAGCTTAATCACGCGATAAAATGTGATTGGCTAACAAAATAAACAAGCAATGGCTTATCAATTTTGGCGAAATTTTGTTATCGAGGACGCAATACAAATCATTGTTTGAAAACCGGGTTTTTTCTTTTCTTTTTGCTCAAATGCGTTAACTTCCTCAACTAGGTCTTTGTAAATATCTTTATTTTTCCATTCAGAATGCCATAAATTTTCAAATATATCCGACATTTGTCTGTTTTTATAAACATGAAATTTTCTGTGACGTCAATTATGTGTGTATGTCCTCTTATAGATCACGGCTCTGGACCAATGAAAATGCTCACATTCTTCTGGTTATTTAAGAAATAAAAGATGTTTAATGTGTTTGCACGGGCTTATGCAAACCGAGGAGACCTTTGAGAAAAATCGAGAACAGATCAGTGCAAGCCCGATACCAAAGGTCGAGGGTTGCACCTTCTCGAGAGTTCTCACAAACGTCTCCGGTGCTTGCATAGGACAGCGCAAACACGAAAAACATCTTTTATTTTTTTTATAAAATAACAGCGATGCGAAACAGGCAAACATTTTAATTTTTCCGCTAAAATGTGTTCATGATCGATTTGCAAATTCTCTTTAATTGATTGATTGTTATGATTGATAAATTTGACCTCCAGAACGCGTAGTAGGGGAATTTAGTGGTTTGTACGTGTTAAGGGAAACCTACGGGGAAAACTATAAATTGTAGGGGGTTGTAGGGAGAAAAGAAAATCATTTAAAAATGAGCCTCATTTTTGCCCAAAATACTCTTTTCTTTCAGGGTTCTCACCATTTAGCAAGTGATTGTAACAGAATCTTTCTTTAGGCAAAATTTGTGACCATATATGGCAATAGAAGATCAGCACCTTAACAAAAACTCAGTGTGTCATTTGCGCCACCTGCATGTCATTACTTCCTACGCGAAATTCTAACTTTGTCGTCTAGATGTTATTAGTTTTCAATGAAACTTTTTTTGTATGCATTTTTTTAAAACAGACTAAAAAATTCAATGGTCTGACCCGACGTAGGTATATAAAAGGGGGATATGTTTTTGTGTAGGGGAAAATTAGGGGAAAACAAGGAAAATCATCGTAGGGGAGGTAAGGGGAAAATAAAGTTTTGGTAGGTGAAATGTGCATACTCAGAATGGCAGCACAGGTGTGGAGGTCAAATTACCACGCCATTTTCACGAAAACTTGACGAAATGTAGTGTTTGCCAAATTACTAAATTATAAAATACGAATTTATCGAATTTCTCTGGTTAAGGTAAGCCATACAAAAAATTACTACGTAACTATAATATGTTAGTTATCAAACGATACGTTTATGGCGAATTTTTTTCGTGCATCTCAAACTACGGCAATCGTTATTTATTCTGTAGTTATTTCGTTATGTAATTAATGTTTATTTTACGTTATTTATGGTTTATATGACTTTTATTGTGTTATGATTGTTTTAATTTTATCTTAGCATTTTAAACTTAAGCAGGCAAAAGAACAGAACTTTAAAACGAACGAACTTAGAGCTATAGAACGACAGAATTTGGGCTTGTACTACTGTAGAGTGTGAAACTATAGTAAACCTAGAACTTAGAACCCAGACCTACATAGAAATAAGAAGTACAAACTTTGTCGAACTCTAAAACATAGAACTTAAAACTGTAGAACTACAGGAGCTAAAGCTATGGAATTGTAGAACTATAGAACCTTGAAATATTAAACAGTACTCTTAGAACTATGGAACCAACATTGAACTAAAAATTGTAGAACTATAGAACTTTGAATATTAAACAGTACTCTTAGGACTATGGAACCAACATTGAACTAAAAACTGTAGAACTTTAGAACATAGAGCTCAAGAACTGTAAAACCGTAGGACTTTAGAGCTATAGAATTATAGACAGTATATATAATGTTTCTTGTACTCTAGCCTTGGGATATGCAAATCATCGGTTTTAAATTTAATTATCTTCTTTAAAAATACATAAATGTTATGTTGTAAAAATTCAATGTTTTTCAGAATTGTTTTTATTCCAGTAAATGTAAAGGACCAGAAATCTCATTTTTCTATACTATCCAAAGTAGAACAAAAGTAGTTGGTGTCTTAAAACAGGCAGAGTTTATTTTCAATCTATTGTATTCGATTGTTTGAATTATTTCAACTTTGGGTTGAAATGACAAATAATCGTTAGATCCTGAGTATTTGTGCAAAATTAATCTGCCCGATGACTGTATTCTTGTTCTGTGCATTGTAAATTATGCAAGCCTAAACCTACCAGTACAATAACACAACGTGTGAATATCAAGGCAGTAATACATTAATTGAGTTGTCCTTCTAAAGCAGATCATTTCATTTCAGAGGCTTTTGGACACAAGTCAATCAGCTTGGAGTTTCTATTGATTGCTACCACTTCTAGTTAGTCTGGTTGACTTTGTTATTTTGAATAATTTGCATGTTGAGAAAATGTGTGCTTGAAGAACATGAATGTGCGTCATACATGTTACCTGATTTGACTGCTGTCTTTGATGTATTGATTCTATCTTTGAGAATATTATGCCTGCTTTCAACTTCAGACTGCTAAGGATGAGCATGTTTTCAGAATATTCAATGCCACCTATGGCAAATCACCTTAGTTACATGTCCATGGTTATTACATATGTCCCCTGACTAACAAGTTTGGCAAAAAGGCTATCTTTAATTTCAACTTCTTGAAACAAAGATATTCACCTTTATGCTGTTGCATTAGTTCAATTTCAGCTTACACCACTTTCTGTGAATGGAAATGAATGTGGGTTGTACTTGTGCACGAGTAGTCACCAAATGAATTAGTTTTGGGGTCTTAAATTATTGGCCATTTTAACACGTCAAAATATCGCAAACTAATACTATTTCAGTATATGGTATGCTGAAGATCAAGTCTGTTTTAGTGCAATCATGTTCTTTTGTTCTTGTCACTTTGGATAATGTGAAACATGGACAGATTTTCACATATTTTCATAGCGTTCGTGCTAACAAATTTTTAGGGTGAGTTGGTAAGGAAGTGACGTAAGACAAAGTAAGAGTCTAGATTTCAGGGACGTGACATTCGAATAGCGCAGTCAGCGAAGGTAGTGTAGAGAGTTGAAAACAAGCTATCACGATACAGTTCACGCAAAAAATTTTACGAACAAACATTACGCTTGTTTAGTTTTTATTACATAGCTACATTGTCATTCAGTGTAGTAAGAATAAAGTATAAAATTATTAATTTTAAGTGCCCATATCAGGGTCTGGAAAATGACTTCATTTGATAATTATATAAATTTTAAGAACATTTGATGATTCGGAAATTTTATCTTCATGGTGTTTTTTTTTGCGTAGAAGGCGACTCTTCGCCGGAAGTGACGTAAAAAGGAGAAAACGCATTTCTACTTTTTTTTATTAATCTCTCAAACGATGTAGTCAAACTATACAACAATGCGGCATCTTAAATTTGCATTGCTTTTTTTTAGAAGATTTGCTATAACTGAATGCACGTATTCTCCTTTTTACGTCACATCAGGTGAGGAGTCAACTACTTCTAGCCTTAAAAAGATCATGAAAATAAAATCTTCGTCCCATGAAATATGTTGTAAATGTTGTAAATTCGATTTAATTATTTGAAAAAGTTATTTCCCTGACATCGGCATTTTAAGTATGAACTATTGAATGGTAACTGTACAGTGCAAGGGCAAAAGTATATATTTAACATTGTCCAACTAACTTCTTTTGAAATTACAAAAAACTAACACAGCGCGCAGAGCTAAATATATAAAGTACCGCTCGCGTATTTATAATCTAAGCTGTTATGACTCTAACGTTAACAAGCTATGGCACATTCGCAATAAACGTTGGCTAGGCGTACAATACCGCTGGCGTATTTGTTAACATACGGTACGAGTATGAAACGCGTATGATACGAAAAACATACGCGTATCATACGCGTATCCTTTTCGTATCATACGCGTATCGTTCTCGTATCATACATGTATCATTCTCGTATGATAAGCGTATCGCTCTCGTATCATACGCGTATCCTTTTCGTATCATACGCGTATCGTTCTCGTATCATACATGTATCATTCTCGTATGATAAGCGTATCGTTCTCGTATCATACGCGTATCGTTCTCGCATCATACGCGTATCGTTTTCGTATCATACATGTATCATTCTCGTATGATAAGCGTATCGCTCTCGCATCATACGCGTATCATTTTCGTATCATACGCGTATCGTTCTCGTATGATAAGCGTATCGCTCTCGCATCATACGCGTATCATTTTCGTATCATACGCGTATCGTTCTCGTATCATACATGTATCATTCTCGTATGATAAGCGTATCGCTCTCGTATCATACGCGTATCCTTTTCGTATCATACATGTATCATTCTCGTATGATAAGCGTATCGTTCTCGTATCATACGCGTATCGTTCTCGCATCATACGCGTATCGTTTTCGTATCATACATGTATCATTCTCGTATGATAAGCGTATCGTTCTCGTATCATAAGCGTATCGCTCTCGCATCATACGCGTATCCTTTTCGTATGAATTTTGTTATGTTGTAAGAATTGCATGGTTGTGGACCTACGTGAGAAATTGAGCATGTTCACCTTGAGATAAATACTGGCTTAAAGTAAAAGTGGTTGCAACCATTATCAAACGCTTGTTTTGACCAAACAAAAATCGTATAAACAACAGTGGTGTTGCCAGCTCGCAACTTTGCTCCTGCTATGTTAATTTTTTTGTTTTCTCTTACTGTAAAAACAATAGATTTCTAAAGAAATGAATAATGTTAATGTTCTAAAATTTACATAGCAGGACCGAAACAAGCGGGCTAGCTACACTACTGATAAACAAGTATAAAGTTTTATAACAACCAATTACATTTTGGTAGTACCTTTCTATAATTCACTTTTCATTGGCTGTCTTTGTTGCATCCAGAAAAATATAGCTTTGGTTGTTTTAGCCTGTAATTTTTATACTGCACTTGAGGTGATACGTGTGTCTTGTGTTTGGAGCCCAATTTAAAGACGTCTTATTAAAGTGAAAGGCTCAAAGCTAGTGAAACGAGAGTATTGGCCAGTGTTAGTAGCACAGGCGAAACTAGAACGTTAGTTGGGGGTTGGGGTGGGTGAATATTTCTATATTCAGCTCTGCCCTTGTTGATTTCTTTTGAAATTATAATCCCTAACAAAACGAATCAGTCCAGCAGTTATGAATATATGAATGTACACCCCCACACTTTTTGTTCTAGTTTTGCCCCTGGTTAGTATTTGCGATAGATTTCAGATCATCATCTTCAAAAGTATCAACAGTAGTGGAATTTTACATGGGGACGAAACAAAAAAAAATTTATCATTTTGATTAGGATAAGTATGTCATCATTGTATCTCCGATGAAATCTAATCGTGTTATCTTGAATAAGTTCTGAGTGGATCAAGCATTCAAATTCAGTGAGAATTATATCAGCTACTATAGGTGTTAGAGAATAGCCTAAGAAGACGTGATTGTTTAATATAGACTGTTACCTCAACAACACCGCGCACCTTTTAATGTACTAGAACATTTCTTACAGTGAAAGAAAATCTTTTTTAGACTTAGCAATTACGCCTAATGAATGTAGAACTACCAGGCTGCTGCTGCTTATTGTATATGTAACAGAACGACACATGCAAAAAGTCAACTTGAAATATGTTATTGACTGATCCTAATTTTTTAAGTGCAACTCCCCAAATTTACGATGGATATATTGAGAAGGATATATTATAAAAGGGTATTTGAAGGGGGCACCAAAAGGCGGTTTTCAAAGGCTAAAAAAAGGGTAGTCCAACAGGAAAAGGGCATTTTTTTCTTTAAATACATTTCTTTGGAGAAAGGAATGTAAAAAGTTTATAATGGCCGTAAAGTCCATTGAACTAAAATAGGTCAATATTGAGGCACTGATTTCAAAGATTGATGTTATATGGGCAAGTTTTGGGGGCTTCAGCCTCGTTTTCACAAAAATCGTGATTTTAGCATTATAGCTATTTCCAATAAACTTACACTTTAACGTTGTAAGAGGGTTAAATTTATCAAGAAAAAGACAATTTAGAAAGAATGTGTACAAGAAAAGTAAAAAAGTTTTACTTTTCCCAATTCGCCTAAATTTTTTATGATTTTTGCTAAACGTTATTTCCTAGCATACGTCCGCAAAGAAATTTTTGGAAACGAATTTTACTGTTGTTCAACTAAATAACTAGTTCTATTTGTCAACTATAAACTAATGGCTAATGGTGTACGTATTGTTAAAGATTTATGTAGTTTTTGGACACTAAATGAATTTAACAAACTGCACTTGCTTCTCAGTCATCTTCTTTGAAGTTATCGTATGCGCCATAATCATGCCTAGGTTTCTGACCCATTTATCTCTTCTACATGGACGAGAAGTTTATGTATGAATCATTGGGATGTAAAACATTGAGCACAAAACACATTTTTAAATCTCAAACATGTTTGATTTAAACGATATTAAATATGCATCATTATTTCAACTATGGTTGTGAAACTACTTCATTTTGTGGCCATTTACTTGATAGGCCGCACACATTTAAGCACTGCGTGCCTGTTTTTTGTGTATCGACACCATGGTTAAAAATCATTTGTTGTCACATTATTATGAATATTTAGGTGTTGATTACATTATGTAAAATATGTATGCATTTATAGTAAAATCAAATGACGCCTTCTTTGACACTTAACAATGACAGTGTACTTTTGTATTGGACTTACACCAATGAAACCTACTATATCTTTCGCTATAAAATAAAAAATAATTTGGACAATAGAAATATTTTCTCACAGCTTTAACTTTAATACGCTCAAATCATACTTACTTTTTTATTATCATGAGTAAGTCGCAAAAATTTTCACAAGGTCTTTGACGCTTTTTTGCTTTATTGACGATTTTTTGATTTGGCAGATCTTGAATGAAATGGAAGCGCGTTCTTCAAGAATTTATCAAAGAACAAGTGAAGCCAGGAGTAAGCGTCGCAAACCTAATATTGACGGCAAGTAAAACTCATGCCTTGTTACTCACAAATCATAAGTAATTGAATGCAAACCTCGGGTAAAGTATTCAACGTAAGCAAAATGACAAGTGTCTAAGTGGTATGACAAAACACAACATACCGATTTATATGTGAAGTTAAAGTAGTGTGTGTTAGCAGAGGGCAGAGGGATGTGTCAGTGAGTGATGTGTACAGAGGAAAACCAAGGAGATGCACTTAAAGAGGACAAGTGGAACCTTAATGCTTTGATGTGTTGTTGGCTATTTTCTCGAGATGATTTATGGCAAAGCAAAAGAAAGAGAAACATGTAATCATTTACTGTTGAAAATTTACGCTTGTGTGCCAGGAAGTCATATATTCTGCATTTTTATGAGAAATACATATGGCTATATGACAAATGGCTTTTAAACATTCAAAATAAAAAAAAATGCATAATTTGAGCAATAATGTTTTGTATTTGTTGCTTGTTATAGAAGCATTGTTTCCACACTAGAAAGACATTTCGTTCCATATTATAAACATTTTGCGCATAGTGTGAAATTTGAAAATGATGTGGAGCAATGAGCATACATCACAACAGAAGTCAGACAATAATGTCAATAATGAAATATCAAATCTTAAACTGTTTTTGTACGAAATGTATGCAATGGCATAAGTATGAAATATTTGCCATAGTTTCTGAGTAGCAGCAAGTTTAAAAAACATTTGAAAAAACGATGATTTTTTATAAGAAAATATGTTTCTACATTAACAAAATACCATCTTCAGTACGAAATGATTAGTGTTACAAAATAAGATACAGTATAGGAAGATACGATATGAATAAATTGTTTACACTGACTGGGAATGTGATATAATTAAAAGGCGTTTTAACGGTTTTATCTGGAAAGTCGGTAGCTTCCATTGCATCTAGCGATCTGTTGTACATCCTCCAGTTTTGAATCTAACTCCTTTCAAGCAACTTTATTCCAATTTAGACGACTGACACTTTACTATTACTTGGTCTCGACTCTGCTCCGAAATTGATATACAAAACTACAATTTTCTGTGTGTCGTCTGAGCTTGATCACAAATTGATCGATGTGTAGCATTATTTACATATAGACAAATCTGAAAATCCTAACTGTTATTTTATGATTACAGATTAACTGCACTGCAATCGACTAATTGCAATCGAGAAATATTTCTAAGTGTATATTGGTGTTACATGTTTTTGTTACTCTATTTTAGATGAACGTAGATACACCAAGTTTACACAAGAGGAAATCGAAAAAATTAGTCGGAAAGTTGCATTTCATTATGATGAACTGAGTGTGGTTCTAAATATACCTTATGCGAAACATTATGAAATATATTCAAACTGCGTAAACTATCCACATCCCTTGGCAAAGTCTAAAATGATTTTGAAGATATTCAATGAGCATGAAAAATTCGATCGAGTTATATTGAACAATTTCCTTAAAAGTCGTTTCCTTGATTTGGATAAAATTTTGTCTCCACCAAAACAGGTAACCATTAGATATTTATTTACATACTTTTTTAAGTATACACCTTGTGAATAATCTAATATGTTCTCAGGGCGAGTGCTCATGAGTGTTAGCGAAGAACTTCATCTAAATTGTAGTTGAATTTTTCTTCCAAGAGTTAATAACAATACTGATCGACTTAACATTTACACATAAAACGCGATGCAATAAACACTTAACATACTCAAAACGTTTTTTAAGAGCTTTGAGACGTTTAATAAACTGCTGTAAACTGCTCCGACATTCACGCGTCCTATATCGGGGAAACTGGCAGGAGCTTAAACATACGACTTACTGAACACAAACAAGCTACTAAGAAACAAGACAAAATTAATCACATTGCCGAAAATCACCGAATCACAAAGCACAACATTGACTGGGACTCAGCAAAATGCATTACTTACAGTACAGACTATAGACAACGGCTTACATTAGAAAGTTTGTATACCAACTTGGAACGAACCCCCCTTAACAGATGATAGCAACTACCGGCACCTTACAAACGACTTGTTCACAATACAAACAAACGATCAACTATAAACATTACACTTCACACTGATTCACAATGACAATACATAATTGACACCCACACATTACAACTAAAAATCGTTACACCTAAATCACACATCACAACTAAAAACAGTTAACTTCGCACTAATTCACAATGATGATACACAGTTCACACCCACACATCTCCTGTACACACAATAAAATGACGTAAGTACCAGATAGCAAATACGGCTAACCTGACGTTTATTCCTCATTTGACTCTGAAGATGGCTACCACTAAGGTTGTCGAAACGTCAGTCAACAACAAGAAAAACAGTCCTTCTCAGGAGTATACCAACCTGGACGATCTACATTTACAAACATGTAACATTAATTTTTTTACTTGTCAAGACTTTTTAGATTTGTATTAGACTGTATGGAAAGGCAAGCACGTTGTAATTATTAAGTTTAGTATTATGTGAAACGTGAAAATTGTTTAAATTAGGTTTACTAGAAGAGTATTGCCAAGATCACGAGTATAAATAATGTTGTTAGGTTGTAAAAATTGCATGGTCGTGGACGTAAGTGAGAAATTGGGCGTGCTCATCTTGAGATAAATACTGGCTTAAAGTAAAAGTGGTTGCAACCATTATCAAACGCTTGTTTTGACCAAACAAAAATCGTATAAACAACAGTGGTGTTGCCAGCTCGCAACTTTGCTCCTGCTATGTTAATTTTTCTGTTTTCACTTACTGTAAAAACAATTGATTTCTAAAGAAATGAACAATATTAATGTTCTAAAATTTACATAGCAGGACCGAAACATGCGGGCTAGCTACACTACTGATAAACAAGTATAAAGTTTTATAACAACCAATTACATTTTGGTAGTAGCTTTTTATAATTCACTTTTCATTGGTTGTCTTTGTTGCATCCAGAAAAATATAGCTTTGGTTGTTTTAGCCAGTAATTTTTATACTGCACTTGAGGTGATACGTGTGTCTTGTGTTTGGAGCCCAATTTAAAGACGTCTTATTAAAGTGAAAGGCTCAAAGCTAGTGAAACGAGAGTATTGGCCAGTGTTAGTAGCCAGGCGAAACTAGAACGTTAGTTGGGGGTTGGGGTGGGTGAATATTTCTATATTCAGCTCTGCCCTTGTTGATTTCTTTTGAAATTATAATCCCTAACAAAACAAATCAGTCCAGCAGTTATGAATATATGAATGTACACCCCCACACTTTTTGTTCTAGTTTTGCCCCTGGTTAGTATTTGCGATAGATTTCAGATCATCATCTTTAAAAGTATCAACAGTAGTGGAATTTTACATGGGGACGAAACAAAAAAAAATTTGTCAAAAACCTTGAAAATGGTAGAAGGTTTGATTAGGAGAAGTATGTCATCAACGTATTTCCGATGAAATATAATCGTGTTATCTTGAATAAGTTCTGAGTCGATCAAACATTCAAATTCAGTGAGAATTATATCAGCTACTATAGGTGTTAGAGAATAGCCTAAGAAGACGTGATTGTTTATTATAGACTGTTACCTCAACAACACCGCACACCTTTTAATGTACTAGAACATTTCTTACAGTGAAAGAAAATCTTTTTTAGACTTAGCAATTACGCCTAATGAATGTAGAACTACCAGGCTGCTGCTGCTTATTGTATATGTAACAGAACGACACATGCAAAAAGTCAACTTGAAATATGTTATTGACTGATTCTAATTTTTTAAGTGCAACTCCCCAAATTTACGATGGATATATTGAGAAGGATATATTATAAAAGGGTATTTGAAGGGGGCACCAAAAGGCGGTTTTAAAAGGCTAAAAAAAGGGTAGTCCAACAGGAAAAGGGCATTTTTTTCTTTAAATACATTTCTTTGGAGAAAGGAATGTAAAAAGTTTATAATGGCCGTAAAGTCCATTGAACTAAAATAGGTCAATATTGAGGCACTGATTTTAAAGATTGATGTTATATGGGCAAGTTTTGGGGGCTTCAGCCTCGTTTTCACAAAAATCGTGATTTTAGCATTATAGCTATTTCCAATAAACTTACACTTTAACGTTGTAAGAGGGTTAAATTTATCAAGAAAAAGACAATTTAGAAAGAAGGTGTACAAGAAAAGTAAAAAAGTTTTACTTTTCCCTATTCGCCTAAATTTTTTTTGATTTTTGCTAAACGTTATTTCCTAGCATGCGTCCGCAAAGAAATTTTTGGAAACGAATTTTACTGTTGTTCAACTAAATAACTAGTTCTATTTGTCAACTATAAACTTATGGCTAATGGTGTACGTATTTTTAAAGATTTATGTAGTTTTTGGACACTAAATGAATTTAACAAACTGCACTTGCTTCTCAGTCATCTTCTTTGAAGTTATCGTATGCGCCATAATCATGCATAGGTTTCTGACCCATTTATCTCTTCTACATAGACGAGAAGTTTATGTATGAATCATTGGAATGTAAAACATTGAGCACAAAACACATTTTTATATCTCAAACATGTTTGATTTAAACGATATTATAAATTTACGATGAATAAATTGTTTACATTAAATGGGAATGTGATATAATTAAAAGGCGTTTTAATGGTTTTATCTGGAAAGTCGGTAGCTTCCATTGCATTTAGCGATCTGTTGTACATCCTCCAGTTTTGAATCTAACTCCTTTCCAGCAATTTTAGTCTTAATTTAGACGACTGACACTTTACTATTACTTGGTCTCGACTCTGCTCCGAAATTGATATACAAAACTACAATTTCTGTGTGTCGTCTGAGCTTGATCACAAATTGATCGATGTGTAGCATTATTTACATATAGACAAATCTGAAAATCCTAACTGTTATTTTATGATTACAGATTAACTGCACTGCAATCGACTAATTACAATCGAGAAATATTTTAAGTGTATATTGGTGTTACATGTTTTGTTACTCTATTTTAGATGAACGTAGATACACCAAGTTTACACTAGAGGAAATCGAAAAATTAGTCGGAAAGTTGCTTTTATGATGAACTGAGTGTGGTTCTAAATATACCTTATGAAATGTATTCAAACTGCGTAAACGATCTAGATCCCTTGGCAAAGTCTAAAATGATTTTGGAGATATTCAATGAGCATGAAAACTTCGATCGAGTTATATTGAACAATTTCCTTAAAAGTCGTTTCCTTGATTTGGATAAAATTTTGTCTCCACCAAAACAGGTAACCATTACATATCTATTTACATACTTTTTTAAGTATACACCCTGTGAATAATCTAATATGTTCTCAGGGCGAGTGCTCATGAGTGTTAGCGAAGAACTTCATCTAAATTGTAGTTGAATTTTTCTTGCAAGAGTTAATAACAATACTGATCGACTTAACGTTTACACATAAAACGCGATGCAATAGACACTTAACATACTCAAAACGTTTTTTAAGAGCTTTGAGACGTTTAATAAACTGCTGTAAACTGCTCCGACATTCACGCCTCCTATATCGGGGAAACTGGCAGGAGCTTAAACATACGACTTACTGAACACAAACAAGCTACTAAGAAACAAGACAAAATTAATCACATTGCCGAAAATCACCGAATCACAAAGCACAACATTGACTGGGACTCAGCAAAATGCATTACTTACAGTACAGACTATAGACAACGGCTTACATTAGAAAGTTTGTATACCAACTTGGAACGAACCCCCCTTAGCAGATCATAGCAACTACCGGCACCTTACAAACGACTTGTTCACAATACAAACAAACGATCAACTATAAACATTACACTTCACACTGATTCACAATGACAATACATAATTGACACCCACACGAACGCTTTTTTCGACCAAACAAAAATCGTATAATTAACAGTAGCGTTGCAGCCCGCACATTTAGTCCTGCTTTGTTAATTTCTCTGTGTTCACTTACTGTAAAAACAATAGATTTCTAAAGAAATGAATAATATTAATATTCTAAAATTTACATAGCAGGACCAAAACAAGCGAGCTAGCTACGCTACCGATAAACAAGTGTAAAGTTTTAAAATAACCAATTACATTTTGGTAATAGCTTTCTGCAATGCAACTTTAATTGGTTGTCAACGTTTTTTCCAGGAAAACTTAGCTCTGGTTGTTTTAGCCAGTAATTTTTTTACTGCACTTTATGTGATTCGTGTGTCTTGTTTTTGGAGGCAATTGAAAGACATCTCTTTATAGTGAAAGGTTCAAAGCTAGTGAAACGATAGTATAGGCCAGTTTTAGTAGTTTTGCCATAGTTGTCAGATCATCATCTTCTAAAGTGTCAACAGTAATCAAATTTTAGATGGGGATAAGACATAAAAAATTTGTTAAGAACATTCGAAATGGAGAAGGTCTGATTACGAAAAGTATGTTATCAACGTATCTCAGATAAGATATAATTGTGTAGTCTTGAATAAGTTCTGAGTCAATCAAACATCCAAATTCAGTAAGAATTACGTTTGCTAAAACAGGAGTTAGACAAGAGCCCAAGAAGACGTGATTGTGATGTTAGACAGTTACGTCTTGTGTTATCACAGCAAGAATGAAAGAAAGGTCTTAACAGTGAAAGCAAAATTAACTTAAAAAAAAACAAAAAAAAAAGAAGTACCATCAGATAGTCTAATCCGGACATGCACTATTTTGACTAGCACCAGCACTTAAATAGCATTGACGGGAAAAGCACTGGTAACAATATGTACGACAGCCGTTGTTCATTTTTTTTCCGAGATGGTTTAATGGCAAGACGTAAAAAAAAGATGAATGTTGAAAAATGTAACAACACACGAAGTTTATGATTTTAATTACTTGTACTTGTTGTGATAATATTAATTTGTTTTATCGATAGTAGAATGTACATTTCAATAATGTTTTAGTTTGATCATGAAAGTCCACCTTTTTCAAGATTAAAGTCATCTGAAACTTTATATAAAGGTAAGAAACCAATGAATATCATTGCATGTCAATTACAGTATGATCCTTTCTAAATCTTTCTTTATTTGTATCAATGTTAGTTTCATTACAATAATTGCATGACTTACTGTTTTGATTCAAATAAAAACATAGTTATTTTTTCGTGGCAACATAAATGTTTGTGCTTCTGCATGCTGTGTAGTGTTTGTGACTATGAATGCAAAATGAGTTTTGTGGGTAGCCGCTGCGCATGTGCGGTTAACCACTATGTTACTGTAATATTCCGTGTGTAGGTTTCGTGCACTGATCTCGAAATAAGACTAGATCAAGCATCCAGCACAAAAGTTTGTTATTGAAGCAATATTTTCAAACTAGAAAGGCATTTTGTTTCATATTAAAATCATTTTACACATAGTTTTCAAATTTGAAAATAACGTGGAGCAGTGAGCATACATCACAACAGAGGTCAGACAATAATGTCAATAATGAAATATCGAAATGTATGCAATGACATAAGTAAGAAACTCTTACCAATTTTAAAAAAAACATTTAAAAAACGACGATTTTTTTATAAGCAAACATGTTTCTACATTAACAAAAGGCCATCGTCAGTACGAAATGATTATTGTGAGGAACTATGATACAGTATAGGTAGGTACGATATGAATAAATTGTTTACATTTAATGGGAATGTGATATAATTAAAAGGCGTTTTAATGGTGTTTTCTTGAAAGTCGGTAGTTTCCATTACATCTAGCGTTCTGTTGTACATCCTCTAGTTTTGAATCTAACTCCTTTCGAGCAACTTTATTCTTAATTTAGACTACTGACACTTAACAACTACTTGGTCTTTACTATGCTCCGAAAATTGATGTACAAAACTACAATTTTCTGTGTGTCGTCTCAGCTTGATCACAAATTGATCGATGTGTAGTAATATTAACATATAGACAAATCTAAAAATCCTATCTGTTATTTTATGATTACAGATAAACTGCACTGCAATCGACTAATTGACTTTCAAAAATATCTGAAAGTGTATTTTTACAATCTATAATACATAGTTTTTATGAATTTGATTGGAATTCACCACTTTCGCCAATTATATATTCGTATGTCACGTGGTACAAACTGTAAACAATGCGTACATTGTCAAAGCTCTATTATATATTCTTATATAGCGTTGACTGTTTTTGCCTGAAAAATTTCGAGTATACTTTTGGCAATTTTAAGGTAAAATATCTTTTTTAATTTTGTTATAAATGGCAGTGGTTCTGTTAGTTACATAGTTGCTAGCTTCTATAGCCAATTATAATCGACTTTAGAAAATGTGAATACTGAATAATGTGGATGGAAACAATCCTTAAAACGTTATGTCCATTTTGTATTTCTAACAACGATTCTCGACGTGCAAAAGGTTCGTGCACAATAAAAGTGAAATTTTGCATCGTATTCAACTTTATGTCTGATTGAATGTTTAAATTAGCTACGCCGTCACATAGCTAACCCAATTTTTTATGTGACTCCAAGATCATTAACTAGAAGTAACTTTTATCATTTACCTATTGACTGTTTTTTCTAAGTGACTTAAAAAGATAGTCGTGTGGCGAAACTGCCCTAAAAACATACCAATACTCGAAAATTTCTGATGACAAAACAATCATTGTTGTATGAAAATATATGATAGAGATGTGAACAGTATAGGGAATATACAGTAGGTCCATATTATGTGCAGCTTGCTTCTGTACATTTAGTTAGATTATTGGCTGCTGTTAGCCATTTCATCATTCCTATTAATCAAAAAAAGCATTTGACTGGCTGCCACTATGGTAATCACATGCGTAATATGTGGTTACGAAAATGTGTTGCCCGAATTGCGATATGTGTTGCACGAAAAAATCATTGCAGTGGCTCTACTGTATATTCATTACATTGGGGCTGTGACTATGTACGCAATGTTCACAGTTTTTAGGTATCACGTGACATGCAATATAGTACTCGTGTTTTCTAAGCAGAATATCCTTGTAATTTGTAGGAAGATTTTTTAAAATGTTGGAGGCATTGCTTCAAACATAAGGAATGAATTTTAGCTGATTGTAGAAAGAATACATGTATGTACGTGAATGACAAAGAGACACAATAAGAACTGTGATGTTACAAAAATTAGAGATGGACGTAAAATAGAATACGGAATAGTGCTGAGAAAAGTGTCTGTATGTGTCGTATAAGGAGCCTCTATGAAAACCAAAAAGTAGAAAGTGTATAATGCACTAAAGAGGACAATGGAAATTTCCACTTGTTTATTATTAATATGGAATGACGAAGTTTTTGCGAAATTGCGCATAGTATGGGGCTCAAAATTTCCCGACATTGGCTTATTGCATTTTCTCTATTCCCCTTCATTTTTGTTTTGATGATGTGTTGTAAGGTTGGTTAGGCACACCAGACTTACTTAAGAAGAAATAGAAAAAAATAATCTGAAAGTTTTAACTGTATGGCCCTAGTGGGTGCACTTCTAAAAATACCATACAGGCAACAAAGAGAAATTTATTTTAGCCATGAAAAAATATCCAAACTTCTCTGCAAAGGCAAAAAAGATCCTTTAATAAACAAATGAAATTCGATCGACCTTTATTGAAGAATTCCCTTGAAGAAATATACCTTGATTTTAAGGAAATTTTGTCTCACTCAAAACAGGTATCATTTTGTATTTATTTACATACTTTCTTTGTTTTAGTATACATTCTATAAATATTTCTACTTTGTTCTCAATTCCATCTGAATTACAGTTGCATATTTTTGTAAAAGTTAATAACAAAACTGATCGACTTAGCATTTGCAGATAAGAGGTTTTAATAATTAGGGAATGATATGATCTAATAAGATATTTTTAAAATGGAATTTATTACTAATTTTTTTATATGTATGCCGTACGTGATTCTATACACTTGACTTGTTTTAATGTTTATTGATCGTGATCCTAGTCTCCTAGAAGATGAATGTAGTTTACATTTCTCGTCAACGTTTTTAGTTAATTGCCGGAACATTTCGCAACTTTCAAATATGTTAACTGTCATCATCAACTTGTTTACTTGTCAAGACTTTTTAAATTTGTATCATGCTGTATGGGAAGGAAAGCACGTTATAATTAGTAATTTAAGTAGCATGTGAAATGCAAAAATGGTTTAAAATTAGGAATTCCGAGGAAAATTGTTAGGCTCAGAATGAGTATGAATGTTGTCAGGTTGTAAGAATTTCACGGTCGTGGACGTTAGTAAGAAATTGAGCATGTTCACTTTGAGAAAAATAATGGCCTATATTAAAAGTGGTTGCAACCATTATCAAATGGTTATTTTGTCCATATAAACATCGCATAAACAAGTATAAACTGTTATAATAACCAATTAATTTTTGGTAAAAGCCTTCATAACCCAATTTTAACTGATTGTCCTCACTACATCCAGAAAGACGTATTTTTTGTTGTTTTTTAAGCGCTTTACTCTATTTTTACCCCAAAAAAAAGATACTGTTGTCCGAGTCATTTGTTGCAAAAGGTTTGCGAGTCTTCTATTTCGGGATATAATGACTACGAAAATTTTCTAGAACAAGCAAACATCGAAATTTAATTGTTGTTTTCAGTTCTTTAGCTTCCGCCATAGCTTTGACCTTCTTATCTCTGCGCCAATACATCTTTCAGGTTACAAATGTCCTATAAAGTTAGTTTTAGATGTAGAAATCTACATTTATCCAAGTTAAGAGTAAGTCTCTTCTCTATTTGTTTCTCAATAACTTCATTCAATCTTTTATCAAGCACTATAACTAATTGACCAAGACCAATATTGTCATCCATAATATTTTGTACTCCCTCACATCACTGTAGTACCTGTTTGGTAATATACTGATACACATCTGCTGTTTATGTTATTCCAAACATAAGTAGTTTGTAAAAAAATAAACCACTATGACTTACAAATGTTGTTATCCCCTCGATTCTTCAACAAATATTATTTATTTAAGGAAAACCCCCATTTTAAACATAACTTACCCATGGAGTTTGCTCTTCTGCTCTTTAAATATTATCTCCTTCAAACATCTCGGTCAATTTTTGTTTTCTACTTTCTTCCTCAAATTAAACAGAGTTCTTTTTGGATTCAAAGCCACAGATTTCACGTCAAGGTCCATGTGGATCTTTAACTGAAAATCTTTTAATGTCCACGTGTAAAACTATAAATTGTAGCTCAATCTCTGCATTGCCATAATCGACTTTTGTCTGAAATTTCCATATAGGGCTTAAAATTGGGTTTAAGCGATGAGATTGACCAGAATGCATATATGTTTCCACTTGATTTTTTTGTGTGTACTTGACCCCACTCTTCTTAAGAGCCTCCCAGGTTTTTTATCTATGATATTACAAATAGATTCACAGTCAATCATGATGCTCTGAACCTGAACGTCAACACCTTAATCTTGAGATTTTTATGCTCAATTCCATTTTCATTTTTTTTTGTATAAAATAAAAGCGTATTCCTCTTCATGGTGTAGTTTATTATAACTCCTTTATTTACATTTCTTTGCTTTTTATCTTCATTTGACTTTTAATTTTGGCTTCTGGTTAGAAATTTATCTTTGACCTACATACAGCTGCGGAAGGACCAACGTTCACACATCTCCTGCGTACTTTTACCACCACGCATGCACATTGGAAACGTTTTAATTTTGTAGGACAACTAATCAGACTATAAAATCTCTGATTTTGGATTTTTCGAATATGATTAACTTTTTCGTTTTTATGCGTTTCAATGGTTTTAGCTTTAAAGCCGACGGTTTCCATAGCTTGAGCGATCTGTTGTACATCTTTTAGTTTCATATCGTGACTCTTTTTATGGTCGCTTCTTTTTTAATCTTGATGACATGTATCACTTACTTGGTGTCCAATCTGTTTAGATAATTGATCACCAAAACTACTGTTCTCAGCTAGTCTTCTTAGTTTTATTACTAACTGGTCGATAGTTTTCCGTTTT